TGCAAAACTGTTACCTGTTTTTTGGTGTAAAACGGATGTATCGATTAATTAAACTGATATATCGTATAATTAATGAATAAAAACATTATTTATAAATAATTGGAAACAAGATTTTTGAATGAATTTTTAAAAAAAATTATTGCTCGAGAAAAGGGTATAAAACATAATTATAGCCCTAAATATGAAAGTATGATATCGTTATCCAACGGTTTAATCCAATTTTAGCACTTTCTGACAACTCTTACCCTCCATTAATAACTGGTCCTAAAATGAAAACTAATTTATTTGAAAACTAAGCTTTCGTTTGCACACTCATTACTAGTTTATAATTATTTATCGAAAGCAAAGTAAAGTGAAAAAATTGCATAACATAAGAAAAATCAAATATTCAGGTCAGATGCGAGTTATAAATAAAATTTTTAAAAGTCCCGGAATTTGTTTTCTAAGACAAAATTGTCATTATTTTACATTATTTTATGTTATATAATAATTATGAAAGGAGAAACTACACAAAAATATAATTAATATAAATTTTAGTTTTCTGGTAATTCATAATTTAAAAATGGAGTAAATTTTAATGAAATATTGACTATAATTCAGCTGTTATTCAAATACTAGTTATTCAAAAACTAAAACATAGGACCTACATGATAAACATTGAATAAATTATCCTGATTATTCAGAATATCAAAATAATAAATTACAAATAAATTATTAAAGAAGTAAATTACTAAATTAGGTATAAATAAAACTATAAAAACTATAACTAGTTAAATATCTAAATAAAATGATTTAATGTCACAAAACCTGTGAGTGTTTCTTCCGGAGCACAAAGAATATGGTATCGAAAAGGTCCAGAAATTTGGTCAAAAAGTAGGCGTAACCCGAGTATAGGAGTCTCAGGGACGGGGGACTGGCGTCATATTTATTGGGAAACTCGAAGTCAAATAAACCGATACCAAAGCGAATACATATAAACATTTCGATCAAGAAGTAGAAATTGATGACAACTAGCGATATGTTGTATATAAACATCAAATGTCTTAAATCAAAGGCCGGTCGGCCTTTCATGAGCTGCGGTCCGATTTGGTTGACAAATATTAGGTAACATAACATAACGGCGCACATTGTCCAGGGACCATTGTCCATGAGAGGTAGGTGTCGGGTTCCTAAATAGTAATAGGTACACCTTAATCAATATTACCCCATTTTGGCAAACTTTTAAAAGTTTGAAAACTTTTCAATTCGTTGTTATCATATGAGTTACAATAAATGGTTTTTACAAATGGACATTGATTACATGTGGTTGCTGGCTCATTAAATGGTAGCAGTGATAGTGAGCACACTTACTGGGATCTCCCACATCATTCCAGAAGTCAACCAAATAATAGGTGAGTCCCTGTGCTGTAGGAGTTGAGCGGGTAGTTTGCGGTGATATCAATGGAAAGCTACTATTGATTGTCATATTTAAATACAAATACTTCTTACGACTTCATCGAGTATTTCAGCGAAATAAATGTCACCAAAATAATGTCTCATCAAAACATTTAACTGGAAAAAAATCAAAACTTATTGTAAACTAAATTTTTTTAGCTTACGTTTACCAAAACTCACTGTAAGTACAGTCAATATTCTTATTCTTATTATTATTGCATTTACATTGAGGTTAGCGTTAAGTAAACTGTATTTCAGTCAACGTTTTCGGTTACACAACAGTATTCAGTGAGAAGGAGAGAGACTGAGAGAGANCCCGGTCTGGAAGCACAGGAACATCGTGTAGTACAGGCCGTAGAGTCCAAACTGATATAACTGTAAAATAGTGATGTATTTCTTCCACCAGAGGTATGGCCTAACCCGGGGTCCCAACGCCGCCAACGCATAGTATGTATACATAATGGCGTGGATAAGGGAGTTGACGATCGGGAACAGACCTACGGGTGAGGCTGTGGGAGAGATACGTATGACCAGCCATCCCAGCACCGGTACTACGGTGTGGTGGTATAAATGCAAAACTGTTACCTGTTTTTTGGTGTAAAACGGATGTATCGATTAATTAAACTGATATATCGTATAATTAATGAATAAAAACATTATTTATAAATAATTGGAAACAAGATTTTTGAATGAATTTTAAAAAGAAAATTATTGCTTCAGAAAAGGGTATAAAACATAATTATAGCCCTAAATATGAATGTATGATATCGTTATCCAACGGTTTAATCCAGTTTTAGCACTTTCTGACAACTCTTACCCTCCATTAATAACTGGTCCTAAAATGAAAACTAATTTATTTGAAAACTAAGCTTTCGTTTGCACACTCATTACTAGTTTATAATTATTTATCGAAAGTAAAGTAAAGTGAAAAAATTGCATATACATAAGTAAAATCAAATATTCAGGTCAGATGCGAGTTATAAATAAAATTTATAACACCGGAATTTGTTTTCTAAGACAAAATTGTCATTATTTTACATTATTTTATGTTATATAATAATTATGAAAGGGGAAACTACACAAAAATATAATTAATATAAATTTTAGTTTTCTGGTAATTCATAATTTAAAAATGGAGTAAATTTTAATGAAATTTTGACTATAACTCAGCTGTTATTCAAATAAATAATTTTTTGGTAAATAAATAAAAACTAAAACATAGGACCTACATGATAAACAATGAATAAATTATCCTGATTATTGAGAATATAAAAATAATAAATTACAAATTAATTATTAAAGAAGTAAATTACTAAATTAGGTACAAATAAAACTATAAAAACTATAACTAGTTAAATATTTAAAGAAAATGATTTAATGTGACAAAACCTGTGAGTGTTTCTTCCGGAGCACAAAGAATATGGTATCGAAAAGGTCCAGAAATTTGGTCAAAAAGTAGGCGTAACCCGAGTATAGGAGTCTCAGGGACGGGGGACTGGCGTCATATTTATTGGGAAACTCGAAGTCAAATAAACCGATACCAAAGCGAATACATATAAACATTTCGATCAAGAAGTAGAAATTGATGACAACTAGCGATATGTTGTATACAAACATCAAATGTCTTAAATCAAAGGCCGGTCGGCCTTTCATGAGCTGCGGTCCGATTTGGTTGACAAATATTAGGTAACATAACATAACGGCGCACATTGTCCAGGGACCATTGTCCATGAGAGGTAGGTGTCGGGTTCCTAAATAGTAATAGGTACACCTTAATCAATATTACCCCATTTTGGCAAACTTTTAAAAGTTTGAAAACTTTTCAATTCGTTGTTATCATATGAGTTACAATAAATGGTTTTTACAAATGGACATTGATTACATGTGGTTGCTGGCTCATTAAATGGTAGCAGTGATAGTGAGCACACTTACTGGGATCTCCCACATCATTCCAGAAGTCAACCAAATAATAGGTGAGTCCCTGTGCTGTAGGAGTTGAGCGGGTAGTTTGCGGTGATATCAATGGAAAGCTACTATTGATTGTCATATTTTTATACAAATACTTCTTACGACTTCATCGAGTATTTCAGCGAAATAAATGTCACCAAAATAATGTCTCATCAAAACATTTAACTGGAAAAAAATAAAAACTTATTGTAAACTAAATTTTTTTAGCTTACGTTTACCAAAACTCACTGTAAGTACAGTCAATATTCTTATTCTTATTATTATTGCATTTACATTGAGGTTAGCGTTAAGTAAACTGTATTTCAGTCAACGTTTTCGGTTACACAACAGTATTCAGTGAGAAGGAGAGAGACTGAGAGAGAGATTGTAGTGGGAGAGGGAGACCGAGAGCCAAAAACAGCAAAATAACTGTTACTTAAAAAACTGGTGTCATAGTTAAGGGCCACTAATATCGTATGAAATGCAGTGAAAACTGGTTTAATAGTCGACTGTTTTATAAATTTATATTAATTGCACTACTTTTTCATAATACATTTGGAGAGTGAGAAAACCTGGTGTCATAGTTAAGGGCCACTAATATCGCATGAAATGCAGTGAAAACTGGTTTAATAGTCGACTGTTTTATAAATTTATATTAATTGCACTACTTTTTCATAATACATTTGGAGAGTGAGTGATATATTTATAGTAACAGGTATTTCGCTGTAATATGCTCAGGGTATGGGCAACAGTAACTGTAGCGCAAAAAACATATGACCCAAACATTACAGAAAAAGTATATCCTGTACTAATTTTTTTTATTTAATCATTATTTAAGTATTTCCTAAGAATTTGTTTATTTATTTGGTGTTAAAATTTGTTAAGTAAATTTACTTGCTTAATTGCTTTGTCGCATATTTAATTCCATCGTATAATTAGTCAATATTTGCATTTATTATTACCCACTCTATTGACGATTATATATGATATTAGGTTTCTTTGATTATATGAATTATTTATAATAAAACTGTTGGACTAACCGATCCACTCAGGAACAGGTGTTTATAACCTGCGGGTGGTATTTAACACTAAAGGAGGTGGACACTAATTTATTAAAACATATTTAATGCAAAAAACAACTAAAACATGTGTTTTAATCAAGGATTATAAACAAAATTTAAATATATTACATTGCTTCTTATTTTGAATTTTGTAAAATATAAATTATTTAATAAAACGGTATTTAAATGCATAAAATTAAATTGAAAAATAAATTTACGGTAAAAATATATAATCTCACGTATGTACAAATAATTGTAAATAAAATATAATTAATATAATAATACAGATATAAAAATTTTAAAGCATTACTCGACATATTATTTGGAGATTTGTATCAAATACTGATTTATGTCTGTCATTCACCGACACAATTGGCTAACGAAACACTAAATTAATTTTGTTTTTGATTGCAATACGAGAACTGAAAGAATCGCCAAAACATGTAGAAAAATATGAAGGGCTGTACGAAACCGATGAGTATATAGATGGCCGGGTATCCCGTTTGGAGGAATATGAAGAATGAGTAGTATATGCCATAGAGTACGAACTGATACAACTGTAAAATAGTGATGTATTTCTTCCACCAAAGGTATGGCCGTATTTGTGGACCCAATGCCGACATCGCATAGTATGTATACATAACGGCGTGGATCAGGGAGTTGACGATCGGGAACAGACCTATGGGTGCGGCCGTCGGCGAGATTTTCATTGCCATCCATCCCAGCATCGGTACAATCGTGTGATGATATAAATGCAAAACTGTTACCTTTTGCGAGTGGAAAGGGTTCATACAATCAGACAATTATTTGATTTTATTTTTTTGGTTTGCAATGTAGGTTAATATCAAGAGTAACCGTAATAGTCGTTGCTTTAGATTATATTTTTATAACAATTTATGAAATCAAGTGCTTTTATCCATTAGATTAATGACTCGATTTTGTATTGTATAGAAAGAAATGATACTATTGTGCGGACAAGAGTTCATTATATTCTTATTATAATTTTAAAATACAACTAAATTATAGCTAAGAATTATGATAATTTGAATCACAATTTGTTGTAAGTTTTAAGTCTTATTTATGGATAGTTTTAAAACTTAAAGGCTAATTTTGGTTTTTGTTTAATGTTTACTATTAATATAAATAATCATAATTCTTTTATAATATTTGTTTTTTGTATGAATATTTGATTTGAAGACTCATAAGTAATCACAAAAATCACAATAAAATATTAAATATAATTACTTCTTATGCATAACTATTGCACGATATATACATTATGTGCTAATTATAGCTAAGAAATTTAAGCCCCAATTTAAAATTCGAGTGAATCTCATGATAATTATAATGAGATATCTAATCAACTAACCTATTATTAATCTCTAAATAATTACCAATTTGTGACATCAAAAATTAATCTCAAACTAAAATTCTTACTTTAATGTTATGTAATATAAGTATAGTTTAAAAACTAAAATTTTTTAATGTAGTTATTTTGTTTGTTTTTATGTAGTATTAAATAAATAGGTTTTTAATAAAAAAAATAAAAACACAAAACCTGTGAGTATTTCTTCCGGAGCACAAAGAATACGGTGTCGAATAGATCGAGAAATTTGGACAAAAAGTAGGCATAACCTGAGTATATAAGTCTTAGGGACCGGGTGCTGACATCGTATTTGTTGGGAAATTCAAAGTCAAATAAATCTAAACCAAAGCGAATGCAAACTAAGGCTTCAATGAAGAAATAGACGTTAAATATGACTAAAACGGTGTTATATAATAGCATTGTATGGCGTAATGTATAGGCCGGACGACTCTTCATTAGTTGGGGACCGATATTCTTGACAAATGTTAAGTAGA